ACTCGGGATGTTTCATCAACCTTGTCATCGCGCGCCTCATCTTCGGCCCCCCAGAACACTTAACCATAACATCCTCGACCGCCTGACGAAACTCCAACGCCCAGTCCTCCGGCGGCGTCTCCATGGCAAAGGAATCACGGAAGCGCAGCATCGGCGCCCACCGATTCCGGTAGAGATTGTGTACGGCGCCGCCGGTGCCGATGATGAGGTAGTTCTCGCGACGGAGATGGCGCAGCGTAGAGCCGACTTTCATGTGGTAGTGGGGGTCGTAGCGGGCGTTGGAGGAGATGAGGGTGGTGGGTGGACAGGCGGCAGGAAACATGCGGATGAGGATGAGGTAGACGTCGTGGATCCATTCGAAGGTGTCGTTGCCGGAGGCTTTGAAGCCGGCTTGGTTGAGGAGGGAGATGCATCGGTGGGAGGTGGGTAGGTCCGGGTTGAGTTTGTAGTCGACGTATTTGGACGGGTGGACGTAGGCGACAGGGCTTTTGCCTGGGTTAGGGTTCGTGGAGATTTCGATGCCGTCGCCGTGGCAGGCCCAGTGGGCGCCCTGGTGTTGATCTTAGTGGTGCTGCTAGATGGAGATAGGGAAGAAGGGGTGATGATGTACCATGATGACCACGCCTTTGATGCCTTGTGCTAGGGCTTCGTCGCCGCATTTCTTCCAGTAGTCGGCTGAAGTGGACTCTTCGCCGAGCATCATGGTCGAGCCATGTGAGAAGAAGTGGACGGGTGTTAGTCCTATACCTCGTAGTTACTTAGTATGCGCTGCATAGATCCACTATAGGAGTACGTACCCATGTTGATGTCTTCTTAGTGTGTTATGTAGTTAGTATTGACTGACAGTGCCAAAATTTCAGCATATACTAATGCATCCTATAATAATGTTAATTAAGTCTGCATGCTGATGTTTGTCTGGTTGGATGCAACGCTGGCACTTATACAAAGCCTCATGTCGGGACCATCGGGTCGGCGGACCACAAACCGAGAGGTCCATCCGAACAGCGCAACTCCGGCCCCCGAGAGCATTTCCGGGGTTAAGGTGGTCCCCACAACTGGGGAAGAAATATACTTTGATCATCTGGTAATGTGTGGGGTTGCTGTACTTGCCGGGATTGCCGGCATTCTCGACTCGGGGGCAACTGGGATGTTCATCACAGCTTACTCTTTTACTATGCCCATACTTAAGACAGCAATATGTCGCATTGATATGCTATAAAAACATGTATAAGAAAGAAAGATCAATGATATATGCATCCCAAGGGTATCTTTGTACATCAACAACAGTGCAGTCGCCTGAGACATGGAGGGCTCCAAACAACCCAGACCAGCCTATCCATACACCCGTGCCCAGCCCAGCCCAAGCCCCTGATTAAACCGGAAACTGAAGAAAGCAAAGCAAGTTTTTGACCCGGAAGAAATAGTGTCAGAAAAGAAAACTCCAGTAGTAGACCATCCGGCAGCACCCAAGATCTCCAATACTCCCCGCTAAAAATCAGACATCAGCGGCAGAAAATGCGAAACACAGAAGCGAAATGGAGTGTTTTGAGACAGAAAGACGAAGACAGTCACGCATTACGCGTGAACATCACTGCTGGCCATGTGGCCCTCGTGATTCTTCAGGAGCCTCATCTGGAAGAGGTTGGGTTGGTGATATAGGTGCTCCTTCCGTCGGGTCGAGTTCCTGCTCGGATTGTTGGCGCAGAGCCGGCCCCCGAGTAGGCTCACTGACCGAGCCATCGGCGTCCAGCGCCGGCTGACATTCAGAGCCATGCTCACCAGGTTCCACAAGCGCTGCAGCTTCAGGGTCATATCGCAGCTCATAATTGCCATGACTAAACCCTTGCCCATCGGCTGCGCTCCATGGAGCGGCGGTTCGCGTTTGCGGCTGAATCACCCTCACAGGCAGGTCATCACGACCCGGCGGAACACGCTGGTTCGAAGTTGTTGTTCGTGAACTAGGCTCGTGATATTGTTGCGGCGACCAGGTCTGTTGACCGCGGCGCCTAGCCGGAATAACCGTGACTGGCAAGGGAGAGTCGGAGCCTTGTCGTCCAGAACCAGGTCGCAGTCGTCGATGGAAGCCAAACCGAAAATCATGCCTGGGATGTAAGCTGTGCTCATCGTCGCTGTCATCCAAGGAATGATGCTGTGGTTCCACTTGAGCACCTGCGGGGTTCCCCTCTTCCTCGGCCTGTGCAGAAGCGACTTCTCTTGGTAAAGATGCCCGCCTTCGCTTGAAAGGATTGAGCAGCGCTCGCCACCTTCTATCCACGTGCACAATTTGAGGGGATTGCTCCCGGGTCTGTTGTTGTGCCAGCGCATCTTGCGCCAGGCCGGCTTGCTGACCGTCGGTGGTCATCTCCTTCGCGGCCACCGCTTCGTCTATGTCTTCATCCTCTTCCTCCATGTGAGGCATGGCCACCGGCGGAGTGGGACTAGAAACTGGATGATAATGTATGTTGTATACCGTGCTGGCCGCGCTGGTTGTGTCAGCGCGACTGACAGGCGTTATAGCTGCTGGGGGAGGTGTTGGTCGGGGCGCCATGCGCCGGCGCCGAGGGTCCAGGGGAATGTTGTGCTGCTGGTTCTCCAGGTTCGACTGCCAATTACGACCAACCCTCGTACGCAAAGGTCGATGAGCCAATCCCATCATGCCACCCCAGCCTGAAGATGTTCCACCGCCTCCGCCTCGATCATGGCTGTCAGGGTTGTAGCGCGGCCAATCGACCTCTTCCGAAGGGGTCACTTCCAACATCTCGTCTCCATCAAATATTTCGCGTCCAAGTATTCCGTCCTTCCTCTCATCGCGTTCCAATGCCTCAATCCGCTCCACCCATTCCCAGACCACGACACTCGCGGCAGCCGAACCAACCCACCTAACATAAGTACCCCATCCGGCAATTTTCGGTTTTGCGATATCCAGAACAAAAAACACAACGGGTATAAGAATCGCACATAACGATAGCAACGCCACCAGGCAGATATTCCTCATTTTCGGATGGAAGAAGGCGAATCGATGTTTCGAAAGCGAGTAAAAGATGACCCAAGCGGCGTACAAAAGGTTGAGAGCAAGCTCGAACAGATAGCTGAGAGCGGGGATCGCGTCTTCGTATAGCCGCGGATGAACGGTATCGGTCTTAACCAAGAATTTGTCGAGGATACTAAATGTGGTATCAAACACAATTAACGCGAACCCTGCCCACTTGATCATTATTTTCTCCTTATGTCGAGGGAACAGCCGGATCAAAGTCTGAATCTGGGCCAGCCACAGGAAGGTGCTGGAAATAATTCTGACCACCCGGATCTCCAAACCGTCGATGACCTCGTCGGCCAGCGCTTCAGCATCGGAGTAACCATAATAATATTGCTGTTCAGCCACACGAAAGGAGTCGACAGTCGCAATGGTGAGTGATACCGCGACTAACAAGGCCGCGACCTTTTGCAGCCACGGCCGACCACCCACGCCAACCACCGACGAATTACCACTATACGAACCGCTAATCATACCATGACGGCCGAGAAAGTTTGCACCGCCACCGGGACCCCCAACATAAAACGTACGCGGCGTGATGAGAAGTATTATAACGAGGAGATAGCTGACAACGGTCGTACAGCCCATCGCATACAGCGCCGGGGTAACGGAGGAATAGAAAGGATCGGTGACATCGAGCGCGGCGACCGCATGGGCCGTGGCAGTTGGCGTGCCCGTGCCGGTACAGATGGGATCGTAGATGGCATTTTCGGTCAAGGCGATAGAGTAGGAGCGATTCAAATAGACGTAACCTGCAAAGCAGCCGCCGAAGCGCCGCGTCAGTGTAACCGGACGGAAGCGAGTTTGTTTGACGGGCCGTATTCAGGCCCAGCACGAATCCACATACCGGAACTGGGTAATAGAAAAGGCGTGCAGTCCGCTTCATAAGTTCTGGTGGTCGTTGTCGTTGGTTGAGCCCATATTTGGCGAGGTGTTAGATGAGCGGGTTCCCCCATGGTCGGCGGGGACGATTGATTTCTCCTCGGAGCAGCCCTCAGACCCCTACGAGATGAGGCGTAATGGCTATCATCAATGCCCTTGTCAGAGTGGACCCGTCACATGCGGCCTTTTCAAGCAACCATCATTCTTGCGGGGAAGTGGTGGTGCTGGGAGAAGAACACGGGGGGACAAGCAACGAAGTGCGCGAGAGTCGAGGCGAGAGCGAGTTGCTTTATCCGATGTTGGACGGGCGGAGGAAGTCGGGGGAAGCTGGGATAAATGGAAAAGGGGGGGCGGGGAGACAGGTTTCGAGAGGATCCGCGTCGGGGTTTGGTGACCGGACAGAAATCTGGGAGGGATTTGGGGAGAGATGAGGGAGCGAACAACAACGGAGCGCAGGGGAAGCGGTGCTGCGAAAGAGCTGAGGTGGTAAGGGTGGTACACGGGATGATACGTCGTGGAGAGTAGCAGGCGAGGGGGAGGAGGATTTGGCAGTGCAATAGAAAGATCCGCCACCCGCGGTCCAGATTGCCGTCGCCAGTTCGGCTCTTCTTGTACACCGCTTGCCAATCTCCACCTCAACAACTACTTAAGTATACTTATTTCTTTCTACTGTACAGCTAGCACGTTCGAAATTCTTGCTAGTGTTTCTGCAATGCAACAATGACAACTGTCTTGATGGTGTTCATGTATGTACAGGTTGGCTAGACCATCAATTGTAGGTCCACACCAGCAATAATGACAAGAAATCAACCCGCCACGGAAACCCAAGACGAAGGCCACGAGGTAAATTGTTAACTGACAGTTGATCACATGGAGACCTCAGCCTCCCAACAAAACAAGCATGGTAGTACAAGTGGATGAGAGAGGACCGGATTTACCCAGATCCCATGCACTGCGTCCCCTATTCAGACACCACTTCCGTCGTACAAACATACCCATTACTCCACCCCCCTTTATAATTCAAGCAGCGATCAGGGTCTCACACCCCACATTCTTGCCCCGGAATAGCTCCTACGGAAGTCCATTACCTCGGGGGTGGTCCGTACGACATCTGCGTCGGAGGCAAGTATGGTGATACCAATGCTGCCCCCGTGGCACTGGCATATCTCCCGCGTTCTTCTTCCCGTTTCTTGATCTCGACCTCGTTTTGGATGATCGTACAGCATGTGCAGCACGTTGCTCGAACGCAGTCGGAGACAATATCCCCTTCAATTTCATAGGCCTTTCGCGTTCGACGGCGCTGGTACGCCGCCAGGAAACCTGCGACAGCTTGTTAGCATACTTTGCCGGTGCTGAAGACTGACGTGAAAGGTGCGCACTTACATTGACAACCGCAGAGCAAAGCCATAACAGTGCAGGAGCTATTGCACGTTTCATATCCGAGCATATTTGTTGGGTCTTCATTTCTTGACTTCATAGAAAGTCGATATTGCGTTTTCCCGAATAGGACGCATGGACAGAGCAGTCCTAGACAACATGACCCGACATCATAGCATCCGCACATGCTAGTGCGCCACGATCCGCCTTTTATCTCCAGATCTGGGTGAGTTATTTGACCTGGCCGATGGTATGCCATAAGATCAAATCCTACAGGTGTTGTTGGCGCCCCGTGGGCGACTGGAGGGGGAAACTGAGGTAATTGGGGCGAATGTAAGGGATTTGTGTCTGGTACAACAGCCATAGGCTCTTTTTTCGGTAACGGCTCTGCCATTTCCAGGTCCCTTTTGACCGGGAGAGGGCCCGGGGATTGTGGAGGTTGTGCGTATGAGTATTCAGGCACTTTTGGATTTTGCTGGACTTGCTGGATCTCGTCCGCGTACGGCGCATAGTTGGCTGGATGTTGCTCGAGATTCGGTCCGCAAGGATAGCCTTGAACGGCCATATCTTGCTGGTACTGTTGCGACTTTTCGTTTAACGGCGGTTGAAAGTGCTCCATGACAGTCTGTGGTTCTGCTGACTGGGCGGCCGCTGGAGGTGTAATCTCATCTCTCAGTCGGCTCCCTGGAGCGTGCATTTCCAATGGAGTTTCCATATAAGAGTATCTTGGATTGGGGCCCAGGTTGGCCGTATTAAGCTGCAGTTGTCTGTTCATGTTGGCGGTCGCTTCTGATCCCAGATGGCCAACTCGTAGGCCCGTCTACAGCTTCACACACTATATTTCTAGTGCACAGAGCTTTCCGGCTCTTTGACCCCCCAAGAAAGAAGGGTTATCGCAGGGTGAACGGTAATTCCAGATCGCTCAAATGCGGTCGTTCCGTAGGGATCTACATGTACCGGCGAGGCGCAAACCCTCCGCTCGCAACCCGGAGGAGAAGCATCAATAAGCAGTACAGCACAGTGAGTGTGCAGAGATGGAGTCCTTCAACATTCAAGTAGTAACAACCAAGTCACCAAATCCAGAACTAGAGAAGGACAAAATGGAAAGCGCAACAGTAAAAGAAAAAAAAAATCCAGAAGCACAACCCACACCCACAAGGACAAGAAACCGGAAGGCAGCGAGATTATAACTAACTAAGCAAAGCAAGTATAGTGGCAATTGGGTGATCACAATCGCCGGAGGTGGAGAGGGGATGGCATGGCGCTTGGGGAAGGAAATGGATGGACGACAAGCAAGCAAGCAAGTTGCTTTGCTGCGGCGGCGGGGGGGAATCAATCATACGTATTGTAGTTAGTTATTGGCCAGCGAGTTAAGCGTCTAAGCACAAGTTGCGCCGAACGAACCCCTAGCGCTGCACCCTTATGTGGCTCTGTTCACACGAGTGATGAATCCTGTTGGTCTGGCGGTCTTTCGGATCATCCTGTTGGGTCCCGAAGCACACTTTCTCTTCGATTCTCATCACATTTTCGCCGGTCGGCTGGCGTCACATTGGATGGTTGCCGACGCACCATTCCATTTCATCCCCTGTCTTTTTTTTTCTTACCCTCCCCTCTTTCTTTCTCTTCTTCGTACGTAGTTCCGTGACAGTTGCCGATCACAACGCTCCTGGTTGGCTCGGCCGCCAACTGTTGCTAGTAGCTCAGTACTAAGTAGTTACCGGGGGTGAGTGCGTATCCGCCTATTGTGATAGTGGTTTCCTTCCGGAGAGAATACCCAGCCGCTGGCAGTCATAGTTACTATCGTCTGTTAGCTAGCCTGCTGGCTAAGTATGTACCTATAGTCACTGCCAGCGCGAACTACTACTAGTAGTACTTTGTAAGCGGTTACATCCCCGTATGCACCAGTGATGCAGGCAGAGAGAGCATGGTGACCAGCCGAGTTGCAGTGCATGCCATGCCGCTCGGGAAAAGGCGTAATTAGCGATAGCACAACATGTGCGCGGTAAGTTCTGGATCTGCAACGGCTTGGAGATATCATATCCTGCATTCAGACTATTACAGTGGTTTGGCGCTGAGAGCTCAGCTGGATCCATAAGCGTTGCGAACCTCCGGATAAACATTACATGGGATTAGGATGGTCGAGACAGGTTACCTGGATTACCCCTCATTCATTGACATAACGGTGAGTGAAACTAGTGTCCCTGCATCAGAGCAGCATATTGGTCACTTTCCATCATCACACAGAGTACAAAGTAGCTAATAGATTAGGAAGGATATCCTGGGTTCTCTCACACAGCATCACGTGATGCATGCTTATCCAATATACTGCCTAAGGCTGCACTCACGTGCCTTCATGCTCTGGTGTCTTGGCGCCAGGGCTGGGTGCGACAGACTATTTCTACCACTACAGATGGTAGTACTGCATTCTATGCAATAAGAGAAATGAAGTGGGCACGTAACAGACTAGGTCCCGTCAAAAGTTGATACTCTCAGAGAGAGTGGAACAGCAAGTGTAGTGCCATTGATGCATTAGTACACTATCGTACCAAAAAGCACGATGAAAACAAATGCCAAGAAGCTCGATTCATCCGATTTCAATCGAACTCCTCAGCATCTATGGATACTAGTCTAGATGCATCTTTAGCAAACGGATCAGTTGAGTTTAACCGTTTCAAATTTATGCAAAGGAATTTCCCTCCAACCCGTCAAAAGACATCAACCGGCGTGTAACGAGCGCACTGGGCACTCTGTGGCGCAAGCCCCATCCATTTAATTCCCGGAACGAGAAAAAGAAAAGCTTAGGGTTGACCGCAAACTCCACTTGCAAGTATGTAACTCCACTACTCTATTTGGTCTGCTTCTCCATACTATTCGGTATATTCATTGCGAAGAATTATACCACCAGAACTGTGAGGATGTGACACTTCTTTCACAGCTCTCAATGATAACTATGCCCCTTCGATAAATCCAACAATCTCGGATAATTCCCTTGATGAATGCAGATGCAACGGTGTGAAGAAACCGGTTGCTGACTGTTTCACAGACAAACAAGCAAGCATAACAACAAAAAAGAAATGAAAAGAAAATATCGCAGCATGACTAGTCAGATTTAAGCCTCCAGCAAATAGGAATAAAGTATCTCAAGCCAATCAAACGGCTTGGAAACACTCGGAGATATCCTTAAAAGTCATCAAACCTTGTCATCAGGAAGCTCCGGGATGGATTCCTCCCGTGGTCATCTGCAAGTTTCGTAAACTCGGAATTCAGCCACAGGGTAACAGTTGGGCATTTTGGCAGATTCTCTCCCGCCTTTCGCACGGTTTAAAAAAAAATTGCTAGCATGGCAAGTAAGCACGGAAGAATGTCGATCAATCGGTCGATCAAGTACAAGATAGAAAGTTTGTTCCTTGGTAGAAAAGTTCCGCTACTTCTTAGGGTTCTATACTAGAGAAGTAACCTAATTAACTGCAGCAATTCACGATATTGAGTAGTTCTTCTCAGGAAACGTCTTCCGAAAGAAAAAAGGGTTTCAACTCGCAGGCAAGTCGCGATAGAGCAAATGTCTTCGAATTAGGTAGCAGTGAGTCACCTTTCAAGCACAGTGTCTATATAAATGGCTCGAAATCCCCGTTGTGTACTCGGTGATCAGGTCAACTCTAGCCAAGCACAAGAGTACTACTACACGTCTTTACGATTCCTACTTCAGTGAAATACGAGAACGACAAACAAAGCTGCAGAAACACCAGGATCAGGTCACAACATCCCGGCAAGATGTTCGATAGTTTCAGCGAACTGTATGCCGATCAGTTGAAGTTAATTACGGATGCTCTGGACCAAGCTGGAATCAATAACGTACTTTGGGGCCACGTCATTGAGCGCTTCCTCGAAAAACGTGTTTCGTCGGTAAGCACACTCCCCCGGTCTCTGACAATGGTCCCTGGTTTTCTTTTCTCTCTCTCTTTCTCTCTCTCTAACATAACCAATAGGGTATCGAATGCATCATCCACGATGGCATGGCCGAAAAAGCATGCCAGACCCTTCTGGCTGCGGGGCTCGAGCCATGCAAATACGGGGAAGATTGTCCGGCGACGAGACATTGGCAAGATAGGCCGGACGCTGTAGCGCATGTGCACTTTGAAGCAACCACTTTAGGGTGTGATATACCTGTGATGTTCTGGGAAAAGTCGTCTCTTCTTTGGGCGTTGCCCGACTTACCATCGTCTCCTCCTTCGTCGGATGATTCGTACTACATGCCAATCAGGATCCCATGGACCTACTACGATAATAGGTCGCAGCGTCCTCCAATAGATTTGACTCCTGCAAGAATGATCAAACCAGTCAAGATCGTTGAAGCCCTGATATGGCTGATGTGTCGGGACCGGAATCCTGATGAGGGATTGGAAAGGGGGTGGGAGTATCGGTGGCAGAAGATCTTGGAATACTGGGTGCAGAAAGCCCCAGGTCTTGCTGAGCATGGGCTTTTCTGCCGGAACGAATTGCGACCCAATTTTCTGCCTCTTTGGGACTACCTCTGTGGTGGTGAAGGTGAACAGACCCCCAAGAAGCATCGTGCACACTATTTGGGGCTCCAAGCGAAGCTTCGTGCGGAAAATGCTCTTCCAAGCTCACCGCAACCAAAGAGAAGAACAATTGAGGAAATTGAACATCAAAAGTGGAAGGTGTATCAGAAGTTCGTAAAACGTTACAGCGGCAATACCCCTTGGATTGAAGAAGACTAATTCTGAGGTGGTACTACTTACTACGAATGCATTCTGTACTTTGTTCCCAGCCCTATGGCATCTCCGCAACCTATGTCACACCATTCGTAATGAATTCAAAATATTACATATAAGAATTTATATCAGTTCCGGATGATTTGAACGTACTTTCATCGCGATGTAGTTCTAGCCTCCCCACGATAATTGTCATGAAACAGCTTTCCGGGTAGAGTTTCTCACACGGGGAAGTCGGAAAGGAAGCCGGGGGAGCTTCGGTTGGCATTGGTGTCAGAACACAAATGCAAAAGTACTAGATAGTAGAAAGCATACGGAGAATTTTCTGAATTTCACCACACGAGGCCCGAAGCTGATATGCATAAGAAGAGGCCTGGTCGTCCTCTTCTCTTTGAGCAATTAGAAAGATCTCAACATCGAACGATGACGCCAAACGCAGAAGAATACACTGCTTGGGAAGTCTGGACGCAGTGCGATCACACCATAGCGATCAGTATCATGCGCAGCAGACAACTTGATGATATTAAAATAGTCGTAATTGGTGCGCAGTCCATTAAGCACAATCTCCCGGCCCTGGCAGAACTGTATACAGTATGTATCCTTGATCGACTTACTCTATTCAACCCACCCAGTCCTTACGAATCAAGCACTACCCCCTTTACACATTCAGAAACTCACTGACTCGTCCGATGAGCCGTACGAGGCCAACACGGTCTCTGTGGCAGTGTCAGGGCAGGGGTCGATTCCCCGACTGATAGATGTCTTGCTCACCAGCCGCGTTTTCCTCCCAAGTGGCACAGATCGCGTGTTATACAGAGACCCTTTCCGTGGACGCGAAATTTTTGTCGAGTTTGTCCCAACTCCCGAGGTGAGTGACTACGCTCTCCGGATATTCATGAGCGCTGGATGACTTTTTCTGTTTCTTTTCTTTCTTTTGGTTCTATAGCTTTTGTATTTACCAGCCTCTGCCACAAGAGTCGCCGACTTAGGAAACAACGCATACAGTATCCCATGCTCATCTTTATTGGATGCGCTGATCGATTATTTCTGGCGCTCTTCCGACTGGTCGGCAACCACAGAATCAGATGATTTTCCGTATCGTCTGGCCGAAGAGATCTCAAACTTGTCGAATAACATCCCCCTGGTAACCAATGCACAAAGACTTCTTGTGCAAATTGCACTGGCTCGCGCATATCATAGGAATTGGGGACGGAGTTTGGGATGGTGGAGAAGGAGATTCGGTTTCAGCTATTAGCTAGTGATATGGGCTGATGAGTATTTCTATTTTGTTTGGTTGCTTTCGTTCATTTTTGGATGGGCGGTAATTTGTGCAGAAGCGATGGATCTTTTGTTATTGAATTTGCTTGGTATAATTTGTTCGGCTGGAGTCTTGTTAGAGAAGGGAGCTACAAATTGATGTATTGAGTCTGTTAACTATTCATTTCGTTCAAGAATCCCACGTCCTCTGGGATGGCCTGTCCGACCGGAGGTGTTGGTTGTTTCGGTTCTGGTCTGCTGATGGGAATTTTACCAGTCACATTTTGCGGCATCATGGTTCTGCATTCTGTAAAAGTAAATTGCGAAGCCAAAGGTGAATTGATGAGTTGTCAGCTCTATGTCAGGGATGATCCTAGTAAATGGTAGATGGACGGAGGGGACGAGAGAGTGAAACAAGAACTTTCAATATGCTGCCCGACGAATGGAAGGATGAACAACAATAACCTGACGCCGCTGGCATTGTCCAATCCGTGCTGTGTTCAGTTCTTCGTGCAAGGGAGTCAGGATGGGGTAGTGCCAATCTCAGATGTGACAGGAAGACTTTCTGACCGGACTGGAGCAATGCGGCAAATAGACAGCATCAAGTTAGTACTGATAAATCACTAGAAACACTAAGAGCTGTGAGTTAGATGGAATGAGTGGATGGGTGTTGAGAGAATGCCAGAATTCGAGCCTTTAGTACGCTGAAGAAAACAAAGTATATAGTGGTTGACAAGAATACCGATAACTATCTATCTAGTATGTACACAATATGGCAGGCACCATTCTATCTATCCACAGTATGCGATGGTTGGTTTACAAGGACAAGCGCTGACGCGAAAGCATAATGGACGTGTCGACAGTTGCCCCATCAATAAAGTCATTCATGAGAACAATAGTCCTCTCGGCCCGAAGTCTATCCAGAGCATTCTTTCTAATCCAAGGCAAAGTTTGCATGTCAAGCATTCCCTTGGTCGACGTGAGACAAGAGCTAGCCGCTGCTGCAGAGAAGACGCTGTAGACAAGCACTTCCTTGATAGACTGGGAGGTCGCCTGGCACTGCAGGATAGTCAAGTCGGAATCCGCCTGTCCCTCGGTACTCATGGACTCGAAACGGTCGATTATCGGGTCGGCACTCAGTGTTGCGTATGCTTCAGCGGTCCAGCTATCGTATTTATCCGCTTCGATGACAACAATCAGACGAGTCCCCGTACGGCGCAGTTCCTCAATCGGCTGTTCAAAGCACTCGCGCGTTCCCCATGTGAGCGGGCTACGCACTGCCCTGGCACACGCCTCGTTAAACAGGTCTGAGATCTCGTCTTCTGTGGGCCGCTGGCAGTCTGCCACGATGTTATCCCATCGGATATGGATTGTGACAATCTCAGTTTGGTTCTCATCGAGGAAGGCGACCTGCTCGCGGAGGAACTCGTCAAAGGCAATACCGGGAATGCACGCATGCTGGAAGTAGAAAGTGTCTCGTAGGGCAGACACTTTCTGAAACATGGGAAGGAGCTTAGCTGGACGAAACTCAAAGTACCGTGCGCCCATGGCCAGCATAGTCGAGACGGTTTTCTTTTGGGTGATGGAGAGGCCGTAAACGATATGAGGTAGCTTCTTCATGAGAAAGTGGTCCGGGACGTGATTGACGTGCTCGAGCAGAGGAACAAGCCGGCGAACGACTGCCAACATGTCCGAATCGAGATGCTGAAAGATGGCCTCGCATGCCGTCATCCCATTCATTCCATTGTCGTGCGGCGCAGCCAGCACGAAGCGCGAGAAGGGCTGTTGTGCAGCAGGGGATCCTGGAGGAGCCACACTTCCCATCCACTCCCGATTATCTCTCGAGCAGATGGTCACATAGCATTGATGGCGATCGGTGAGACCAACCTCGCCGTGACCCGCGGCATAGAAGCCATAAGTGATGATGGCGTCCTCTGTCACGATCGGGTGGAAGTCCTGCGTCGCGACCATCGTGCCTCCCTCGACCTTTCCAGTCAGACTGTTAACATCGTTATGTGCGCCAGCCACCCGTTCTCCATAGCGAAAGACGGTCCATTCGAAGCGACCTGTGAAGTTGCCGAGCCCCTGAATGTGCGACGAGTCGATCTCGAGCTGACGGCTGGTAAAGTTATGGGCCACATCATGGAGCACTTCCTGCTGGGGCACGGCAAAGCCGACCTCGTAGCCCGGAACGCCGATGTAGCTGTATACAGTGATGCCTTTGCTGGGCATAGTGAATGGCCGGGTGATGTTCTCCCGAAGGTGACTGAGGGTTGCTCGCCTTGGCGCATTGCCTTTCTGCAACTTGTCCCACTTGGATCGGTACTAATGAACTACTAGCCATATTGGGAAGTTCCCTGTCCCCGGCACATCGTGGGATCGTCGGAGATGATCATATGCCAGGGCGTCAGGAGTATGGTACGTCACGTGAATGATATAGCCTGCTAGTTGCCTCTTAATTTATCGTACTCGTTGATTAGAGTTTTACATATCTAAAGCCCTGGAATCTTTCATGTTGTTACTCCGATTTCTATTGCCCACGTAGACGGCGCCCCCGTGAATTACGCTATGCGGTTAGTCTTTTGCCCTTTATGGTTTAGCGCTACAATGCCTATTAAAAAGCCCTGCCCTTTCGACCTCTTGTCAATATATGTTCATCATCGCAGCGTTGTGCCATAGGCCAATAGCGAAAATGCCGCACATGCTCCTGGCCTCATCTGACAGCCAATAGTGCTGAGACTGCGATTGTTAATCACACAGCCCTACGCGCATACCAAGCGGCGAACAACCTAGTCACGAGGACGACTGGTGTAGGCATGCATCGCAATAGTCATCATCAAGGGAAGCAGGAATCACAGACGATGAACTACAACTCGTGCTCATGGATGTGTAAGGCGTGATGCCAGAACCCTTCTTCTAACATGTGTTTTGTAAGACAAACATACCGGCTGACGGGGCCGGCCGAAGTGCTGATTTCAGTGATCATACTGTGTCAGCCTCAGATGTGTCCGAAATTTAGTTGATGTCTTGACCAAGCTTTTTCGAAAACATGCCGACATAATTTGAAAGATTTGCTAAAGATATCCCGACACTACGCTGTCATGTAGAATCGGGGCAAATGACCTGAAAATCTCCCTCGCCCTTGCAATTCTCATTGCCAATGTGTCCCCTTTCGCTGGTGAACATATACTATTGGGGATCTGTAAATTGGAATGGATGTAAACAATATCTTTGCAGCGCCCTTCATTGATTCGGGGGTCGTGTATACAGCTCTGGGAGCATCAGAGAACCTAGGGTCGGCTTGTAAGTTTCCGGTTGCTAAACCTCGTAGAATAACCGCCCCTGTGCTCGTCGAAGCTCCGCGAAGCGTATATCGGCAAATCATTGACGATCTTGCCGGGTGAAGGGGCTTTTTAGCTCAGCTTGGGTAAGAGTCCATGAATTTTTTTTTCCTCTTTTCTGGAGGGATTTTGGCAATTACAGAGAAATGTGTGGAATCCGGGATTGTGCAGCGCGAATTAGCGCGAAATCGTGAGAAGATGCTAATAAAAGCTTGTTCTTGGCTTAGATCATCCGAAAAAATCTGGACACCTGGAAGCCTAGGCACAAGACCCCTGAGATAGTCTTTGAGGCCCACCAAGGGGGCTGCGGAAGTGCCAATGCCGATCTGTACTATCGGAAGGCCACCCTCGGCAACCCGAGGGGGCCGGGCCGGCCCCGTGCACACCAAAGGGCACTGGACCTCCGGTGCCCCGGGGCCCGTGGAGTAGACTCTCTTAACACCCCTTCATATAATAATATTATGATTTTATATACGTGGATTTTCGTTAATAACAAGTACCGAGCATGCTAAGAGCGCCGAACATTTGACACCTGCTAATGTATATCAGGGTCACTTTTCAATCCCCCATTATGATCCATCTCGATCAACTGAACAAAACTGGTATTCGCATCGCGATTGTCAATTCGAATTTTCTTTTGGCTGCTTGGTAGTCCCATGCTGCTGGCTTCCTTTGTTGATCCGAACACAGAGGGGAATAGGCGACCGAGCAAGGATCGCAAAGCGGGTAAGCATAGACAGAAAATGCCTACATCGATTTCTATCACGGACCAGTAGCCGCCAGCAGCCATGTCCCCTGTTGCGAAATCGTTAGATAACCTGGTGGGTGGAAATAAGGGAACCTAGGGATATTACATGTTGCATTTGTTGTTGTTGCGAAGATCTTGAGCATTGTAGCGCGGTAGATGCCGACACCTGTGATTCTTATTCGATTAGTGTCAGTAGTTGAATGGTCCGACGCCGAAGAAAGGAAGGAAAATGGAACCAGGAACTCACAAGAACCCCACAGAGAACATGAATGTGACTTGGAGTTTTGTACTGACTGATGCCTGGAGCTTCATCACTTTGGGTATAGGGAGGGCAATAACCCAAGCATCAAGTACGATATTCAATCCGGCGGCAGTAACCACTAGGGCGTTCGTCTTGACGCAAGAACCGTGGTGCTCTCCATCCCAACTCGTCCAGTTATAGCTAATAGGCGTGCATTGAAACGCGAAGGCAAATATGAAAGTTATGGCCCAGCAAACGGAGATGATGCAGGATGCTTTAATAACGCGGCGCATTCGATCACTCGGGAAGATGCGAAGATAGAAGAGGAGGAAACAGATCTTGATGAGGGCGACACATGTGGCATATAGAATTTCTTGGATATAGAAAAGCTAATGGATTCAGTCAGAAGGTTGTCGATCCGCGTGTCGGTTGGAAACTTGTATACGTAGAGAATTCGAGTGATGTTTTTGAACTCAAGGGTCCAAATATCCTTTCCTAGCCCTGCTTTTCCAACTGAACTCGATTGTTAGTAATGTCAATTTGTCAATGTGAGAGTCGGGGCAACTTACGCAATATAGAACCGGAATTGACGGGCACCGCACAACACTAGGAGAGTTAGTTTTGAGGGCTTTAAACCTCAGAGAAGGAGCACGCAATCTTACCGCGAGGAAAATAGTTGCCCAGTCATCCAAACCCATCTCTAATTTCGTGATTACAAGGCGTGTATATAATCTCAATGCGACGAAGAACAAGAAGCATAGACCAACTGCTGGAACCAGTATGCTGACAGAAGTGCGGTCTCGAACTGGAGCTCCGCATGTAGTATCTGTGACATTGAGCGTAGCTGCAAAATTGTGTTAAATCATGGGCGACTCGCATCTTCATCTATAATTTATTAGCCACTCACTGAGACCCTCCTTGACAGTGCAATTCGCCGAAACGCAGACGTTCATCTCCTCCTTAAGCTCAACATTCGTACATATACATGTTTGATTGGCAAGGGTACAGGATGACTGAGGGACAAGCTCAAGCATGCATTCTTTCTGTAGGCAATGTCAGTATAATGTTATGCGAAAGAACATCTCAATAACTTACAGCGCATGCTGGTAAAGACTGGGCTCCGGCCGATGCCAAGTCAGTCAATAAAAATATTACGCAGGCTGAGAATAGAACCCCAAGTCGAAGAATTCGCATTCTGCTGCAATACTGCACAGCTGATGCTGAGTTCAAATGCAATCAAGCATGTGGTAGGAAGGCTGAGATGATTAGCGGCGAAAAGGAAATTTGTGAGTGATGATGCATGAGCTACTATGGGCCTGTTCGCTTGTTGGAGGGTCTAGTAATCGAGCTAAGCTTAGGTCTGCCCCTTAAATGAATGGAATTTTGGGGCGCTTGCCACGACCAAAGCTAACTAGTACAATGTGAGTTAAGTGAGCCATGAAGCATCGAGGCATTCACCAGCCATTGATCCAGAGATGCCGCCGGATTTGACTCCCGCGGGCCGTCAGAGGTTAGAGTTCTCTAGTGAGCTATCACTTATTAAAGAATATGGCCAAGGGTGATTCAAAAGCTGAGAAAGGATGATCATTTTGTCTGAGCTAGCGGTAGAAAAGAAGATGATAGAACAATCTGGTTCATTGCTCTGTTTCCAAGGCTCTGTTGCCTCCTTAATTGCGGGACAAAACGGACATATAATTAATCAAAATGTGTAAACCAATATCTACAACACGTTCAGAGTACAAGATTGAACAATTTTTGTCCGCAGTTAGCTTCCGTTCAATTAGCTATTATTTTTAGTACAGTAAAATATTCGCAAATTGCTGAGATTCCCCATTTATGCGCCGATCAGGCACCTCTTAAGCACCAACATTATTGACATTGGCCTCGCAGATCAGGCTTAGTATCTCCCTGTTCCCACAACTCAGCGAAGGCTAAGGAACCCTGAAGAAGTTCCGTAGTGCGAAGGGAGTTTCCGCACTGCTGGGCTCGTTGGTCTTGACAAATTCAACTGACAGAGGATTCGATCGGGTATTAATTTATGGCGAGAAGATCATAGAGGGTGTTCTGTCACCCTGTGTGCCCCTGACGGGTGCGGCCCGTTGCTAACCAGTGTTTGCTTATCAAGTACGTAAGTCTCTTTGAAGGATTCGCGCTAAGTGGAGGTTCTCTCATGTGGAGACACTGTCACACGCTTTCTGCCACTTGGATATCAGACAATGCTGTTTTAGTTTCAACATGCACGGTGGCTAGTCTTAACTGGTCACTAGTTCACAGACCAGCGGGAGAACAAGGCCGTCTTCATTGGCCTTGGTGTACAAACTAAGTACACTATCTTGGGGCCAGGAAAACCGGTTCAATGAGTCTAGGTGCCTTTACCTTTTAGGCAATTCCAGCCCGGTATCATTTTCATACGACCCACTCACCGGGGGGGGGGGGAGCAAGGCCGAAACTTAGCGGCAATGCGAGGTATTTGAGGAGCAAGATGGCAATCTGGAGGTGTTCTTAGTTATGTTTAGCAATAATCAGTCCTCTTCATTGATTTTCTAACACAGGACTCGATATCTTGCACAGAATTAGTCATAAGACTGGGTTCAGCAAAATGGTCGTTTATAGATCACCAGTTACCCCAATTCATGATGCGACAAATTTGTCCATTCCACAATTCATGACAGAATACAACCCGGACGATGTAGATGCATCTAAAGCCGTTCATACCGATACCTTCTCCAATGAAGCTCTCACGTATGGCGGTCTTCGCTATCAAGCTGCTCGTGCTGCCTGGGGCTTACAGAAGAGGCTAGGCCTACAACCTGGAAACACCTTACTTGCACTTGTTAACAATTCCGTAAGGAATCCATATGCGTCTACCAAGTATTCGGTCTGACTGGAATCGCAGAATGCCTTTGTTCTCCTCGCGCATGCCACATGGTGGACAGGCGCTATTTTCGCGTAAGTAGATGTCAGGTTGCATAATTGGGAACTAGGGTTAAGATTCCGATAGGCCTTTGAATACAGCGGCAACCCACCAAGATATATCACATGTTCTCCAGATCGTGAAACCTACACATGTAGTCACCATCGAGGAGAAGCTTAGCACTGTTCAGGACGCTTTGGCATCTCTGTCATTGACTGACATCAAGGTTTTGACTGTGCGTTGCAAGGTGGAAAATCTGCCGCAGTTTCCAGAAGATGTCACAGGCCAAGGAGATTCACAAACCCTTCCGCCATATGATCTCCAAGGGAAGAATTCCAAGGATGTCCCCAGTACTATCTGCTTTTCCTCTGGAACCACTGGAAAAATGAAGGGTGTGCAACTCTCCCACTACAACCTTGTCATGAACAGCATCATGATGCGTGCCTCTATGCCTGTCAGAGTTAATTCAACTGTTCGCGAAGTCTTTTTCGCACCATGTAAATCTCCCTCCTTCATAATCTTGATTTCCAGGTCTACTAATGCGTTCAAATCTTAGACTGTCACGTTTATGGTCTGACAATAGCGGTTTTGGCTGGCATGTGGGTCGGAGCCCATTATTGCGGCCTCGCGGCTTTCGACTTGGAATCCTTCTGTCGCAAGTCGAGTGAGATAAAGGTTACAGACCTTCATATTGTGCCCCCAGTAGCACTTGGCCTTGCCGCCTCGCCCATCGCTCAGAAGTATGACTTAACCTCCTTGCAGCGAATTGTCATTTCTGCTGCCCCACTGAAGGTAAAACCTTGAGCTTGATTTTTTAGACTGTGTGTGATACTCACTGTATGATTTTGCTAGAAATCGGTGCAGCAACTTCTCAAAAAGCGTTTTCCACACACCAGTATTTGTCAAGGTAGGTGTTGATACTTCTTGTTTCGATAATAGTCGGTTAACATCAAGATCAAGGTTATGGACTCACAGAATGCTCCGGGGGAGTGATTCATGAAATCGATGAAGATGAGAAGGCCTTCGGGTGTGTTGGCAAGTTATTTGCAGGAATGTAGGTTCTGTTGATTGACTCTCTCTAAGCAGCTATTCCTTTTGCTGATGCAATAACAGGGAAGCTCGTCTTGTCGACCCAAAGACAAACAAGGATGTCCCTCTCGGTGAGGAAGGTGAACTCTGGCTCCGCGGTCCAGTTGTTATGATGTATGAAACTCTGTCAACCGTTCAAACTTGCAAGCACAGACGTGTTTAACCTTTCTACAGGGGCTACGTCAATGACAGTGAAGCAACAAAGCGCACTTTCTCCGATGACGGATGGATCAAATCAGGAGATATCTTGAAGCTGGACGAGAACCAGAACTTCTGGGTTACTGACCGTCTCAAAGAGGTAAGATTGTCTCGTATTATCCCACAATGAAGATTTGGAGCTAAACCATAGCATTTAGATGATCAAATACAAAGGGTGGGTTATAAATTCTTTTTTGAAGTATCCAGCCCCTGGCTAACCACGATATTTCTAGGTTCCAAATTGCACCTTCAGAGCTTGAAGACATGCTTTTGCGTCATCCTAATGTGACCGACGCTGCGGTCTGTGCAGTTTACGACGATGCACAAGTGACGGAAGTTCCCCTCGCATATGTGAGTCTCTCACCAGAGACGGCGGAGCTGCCAAGCTCTGAGAAACAGAAAGTCCTTGATGAAATCCGCTCCTGGATGGACGGCCAATTGGCAGGGTATAAGAAGCTCAGAGGAGGTGTTTTCCATCTTCAGACCTTGCCCAAAACACCGACTGGCAAGATTCTTAGGAGACTCTTGCCGGCCAAGTTGAACGAGGCAAGGGAGGCTAAGCTTTAGTTGCTTCATTCAGAGGTGCCTGTATCATGCTTCTACTTGAAGCGGCTTTTACTACCTTTTTGCTATCCGTTTATTTGACACTCATGGGTGGTTGATTCTTGACTCGTTGAACGATCCCTATGGAACGGTAATAGTTGTTTGGATGGAAGCAATTGCAAAAAGGAAAGTGCATGATTGAAAGCGAAATCGCTAATTAGTATGCTTCATAGGGTGGAACCATAAAATTTGAATATCTCATACTTGTTTATCTTTCACCTTAATTCCTGACCATTTATGCGTCTGGTTGATCCAGCAGATTTGGAAGACAGAGCCCAGAGCCAGATTCTCGTATCTTGTTTCTAATATCAGCTTACTCATTTCGATTATTCTCTCTTCTTGAATATCATTGAACCTACCAATCAGCCAGCCAACTACAGAGCTTTAAGCCTGCAAATCTAGTGACACACGGGGAATCGAATCCCTGGCACTTTGATTACTTGACCTTATTCGGACCCAAAGGTGCAGGTGCAATTGAGAAAGTGCGTATCGCTAATTGTTCTAAGCTCCTTTGCGTATTTCGAGCAAGTTCCATATAGATTGTTACTCTGCTATATAACAAATCTGATATAGTACCCCCTTTCTGTATCCGAGCTCCTCGTCCGTAATTCTTCAGATAATAGAACCAAGCCATGGTAAATCTTCACTTTCTCGATATCTTCAGAGTTCAATGTTAAGCTTAGTAAAACAGAAATGAGTATCTATACCAGCCTCTCTGCACGTATTCCAGAATACATAATAGCAAGGTAAGACCCTCCTGGTTACTATAAAGGTAGATATATGCTCCGTAGAACTGTCTTTTATAGACTGTTTCCAATATACAGACCCGTATATCTAGCTATATAATCTGGTTTAAACTCACTGGAACAGTACTAGGCATTTGGCAAATTGGTCTAATGAAAACGGCTGAAGGATATTATGCTGATCATATGCACAATCACTTTACCGCGTTTCTGATCAAGAATTTATGTTAATGAGACACGATCTCCTACAAGAACACGTAAAAATATGGTGGAGATAGTGGGCAGAGATGCCATTGTATCTGTCTTCTGTGGCTTGCAACTTTTTTCTATGGGTGTGATCTATAGTCGTTTGATGTGCAGTGAGCTAGTAGATCTAGATATACTACTCTTTAGTCAGAATTCTCGCTCCGCTTCAGAGGAAGGGTTTTGCATAGCTATCATAGAAGTACCGTATGGATGTATCCCGCAGTGGAATGATGAGCTGAAAATTCTTGTTCTCGATCAGGTAGTTCATAAGATGTCGAATTGGAGTAGTAGGAGTCTCGTTCTACTAACAGAATATTCCCCGATTAGATATGCTAGTATACAGCAATTCTGTGCTCTCATTTTTGACCACGAGTATCTTATGACATTGTACTTCCAAGCAA